CATCCTCCCCCCCACCAGCTGACAGAGTGCGTCTGCAGTTGCAAGACGACGTCTTGGGAGACCATAATTCGCAAGTTTGCACGCCTTTATGGAGGTACCTAAAGGTCGATTTCTCATGAGCTTTGCTGTTAGTTTGGTGTGCGCGCTGCCCGGGTGAGCTTCCCATCCTGCCCACGTGATGGTGTGCGAGAAGCTGAAGATCAGGCGGTTTGCAGCTCAAAAAGCAGTTTTCCAGCTTCATAACAACACACCACGCCTGGGACTGGTTTCAAGAGCCCCACATGTCGGCATTCCTAAAGCACCTCCTTCCTCTGCTTCCCACAGGCAGCCACTCGGGTACGGGGGCGGTTCTCCATTGGAACTGGAGAGCCACCGCGACTAAATCTTGCTCGCGGAGCCTTACTCTACACTAGTAAAACCAGGCCTTACAGACGCCTTATTTCACTTTTCTTGGCAGCATGGTAGAGTTTCCCTTCCAGTGGATAATACCAACCGGCAGCCAAGTGACTCGATGGAGGCTAACCCAAGCAGGATGCATGGAGCTCGAGTGCTGTGAGCGTAGGATGGTGCCCGGCATGCGATTGCGTACTGTAGGCGCTAGCGCTCGAGTCTATAACTAGACATTAAACTCGTTCCAATAAGGTTTTAAAAAACAACAACTCAAATGTGGGAGCCTCTTTGCTTCGAATGCCTGAGTATCTCACCTGCTGCAACACAACGATGAGGTGGTATCTTCGGTCCACACAGCTTAACCGGGCGCTGCTGTGCCCAGTGGGCCGTGCGCACTGCTGAAAACATCTGTGATATATCTGTATCAATTGACATGGTGTAGAGGGTTTTCTGAAGATGCTCAACAAGTCCCCGCACTACGTTTGAGCGGCCCCCATAGCCGTGGTTGATGACATCGCGACGGTGGCATCAACCCACGGCGACGGACAGCAGCAGAGGCGCTGCACCCCCTACCGACAACGAACACTTGCTATTTCTGCCTAAAGGCCTGAGTTATAACCCCCAAGTGATCCCAGTTCCAGTGAAGTGCCCAGAACAACAGGTTCGACGCCCTCCAAGCGGGCACTGCAGCCGACGAACACAAATACCAGTTTTCAATGTGGCGGAAACCCCAGCTGGTCCCTGAACCTAAAGCCGAAAGACGCGGCCAGTTTACTCCCCTAGGATGCGCATATCAGCCCATGAGCATCCAGCGTGTCAGGACTTGGAGCCGCTAAGCATCCCCACACTCTTCTGTGTGTCGTTAACATCACAACAGGTCACCAGCCAGAGGCTGTTCCAGCATCGAAGTTGCGGTGGACAAGTTCAGCCTTTACTTC